GGAGGGGCCGGGTCCGCACAGGGAGAGGGGCCGGGTCCGCACACGGGAGGGGCCAGGTCGGCACAGGGAGAGGGCAGGTGTTCCATGCACGGTGCATGATTTAACTGGTGGTGGCTTTGCAGTGCAGGTGCTGACAGGACCCCCAAGGCTCCTGGAGGAGTGGGGACTGTCCTGGGTGGCAGAGTTAGGACTTGAACCAGGGTTGCCCGATCCAGAGCCCCTTGTTTTCCCAAACTGCCCCCACGCTGCCCCTGAGGAGAGCGGGCATGGCAGGAGTTCGGGGAGTGGCCGGCCCTCGGCTGGCTCTGAGCGCTCCTGGTGGCTGAGTTCAGCTGGGGCCGGGAAGCCAGGGACAGACAGTGACGGCAAAAGGAGCCAGCCTGTCGTCCTTCAGCTCCTCTTGCAGCAGTCAGATTGGTTTGGGAAGTAAAATTGGAGAAAGTGGAACAGGCTCTCTAAAAGAATGGAAACAGGAGTACAATTAGAATTCTGATGTTAAAAGGAACCGGAGGAGAGAGGCCCGGAGTCGGTACTGGAGTCGGTACTGGAGGAGCATTGCGCAGGGACCACACTGTCCTGACGAAACCTGTTTGAGTTGTGGGAAGGTGAATCTGCCACATGGCGGGACCTTGTGGCCTCTGCCTCCCACTTCCAAAGCCCCACTGTGTGTATGTATGTACATGTGTGCATGCATTTGTACATATGTACGTGTGTACGTGCATGTGTGCATATACGTGCACGCACATGTATGTAAGTGTGCTGTGTGTCTGTGTGTACATGTGTATGTGCGCGCTTTCATTTGCATGTGTGTGTGCGTGTATGTCTGTGTGTGCCTGTGCATGTTTTAAAGTTGGGCCTCTGGTCAGATGTGTTGGATCTGAGGGTTCCTTGGTTGAGGGAGGAGTTGGGAGCTGCTGGTTGAATCCAGCTTTTGTAGTTTGAGGAACTCGAGGCCTGAAGCATTAACTCACCAGGTCTCCGTGGGGCCTGGCTGGCTGGGGTTTGGTGCCGCCCCCACCTCAGGTCACTGACTTTCTGACTGGCTGGTGCCCCTTCTCCCGCTGGGCCACAGTGCCACGTGCACTGCTACTGACTGTGGAGAAGGGCGAGGACGAGACCCCTCTCTGCTGCCCAGTAGCAGTTGTCTTTACATCTCTCGGCCACCTGACAGCACCAGTGACGCCTGTGGGCAGTGCAAGGAAGGAAGGGCCCAGGGCTGCCTCCTGCTCCCACAGTGAGCACCCTGGGAGCTTGTTGGAGCTGCAGATTTCTGCAGCCTTCCTGCCTCCAGCCTCCACTCCTCTGTGGATGTCACCGGGCCTGGGGTGGACCCAGGAGTTCCGCACTTACATGAGTCCCCTAAGAGACTGAAACAGCCAGAAGGAACCGCAGCCGGCACCTTTTCACCCGTTGATTCCAGGGATGTGCCCACTGCAGCCCAACCCATGGATCCGTGTGGGCAGGAGCACCCCCACGAGCAAGTCATTGCTTTCCTGGGTGGGGCGGGGCGGGTGGGGGAGAGATGAGCTCCTTGGAAAGCAGGCGCTTGCTCTATAGAAGCACCTCTTTCTGCCTCCTCAGTGTACCATGCCATCTTCTTGGAAGAGCTGACCACCTTGGAGTTGATTGAGAAGATCGCCAACCTGTACAGCATCTCCCCACAGCACATCCACCGAGTCTACCGGCAGGGGCCCACGGGCATCCACGTGGTGGTCAGCAACGAGGTGAGCTTGCTGCCTGCCCTGCCCTGGTGAGCTGGAGCTTCGTGTCCCAGGGAGGAGCAGCGGACCCTGCATCCTGTGGGGTCTGGGATGACTTTAGCCCAAAGACGGCCAACAGGTCTCACCGGCATGCCACAGGCTGCAGCGGCCGCCTGGAGTGCTGGGAGGGAGAGAGCTCTGAAGCCACAACTGGGTCTGAATAGCTTTCGAGTATCCACTCCATTGCCTCACCCTCGGCCAGGTGCCATGCAGGAACTGGGAGCACAGACGGCACCCCTGCCCTCAGGGTTCTTGCAGGGAAAGGCGTCAGGAGAAGGGTGCTCACCCAGGGCAGGCGGCAGGGCCCAGTGAGAAGTGAACTGGACGGGGGTTGGTGATGGGAAGGATGTGGCTCAGTACGGAGGACCCCTCTGCTGAATAGGGAAGGTGCCTCAGCCCTGCGGGGCCGGTCACAAGCAGCCCCTGGCCGGGGCACAGGTCTGATTCCACAGGCTGAGGAGGGCTGCTCACCGGGCTTGTGACACATCGCGTTCCTGCGGGTTGTAGACTGGAGGCTGTTACGCCTGTTCTGTCCTGACCTTTCCTCCTAACACTCATGGTAAGGGTGCCAGCACTGCTGGGTGCTGGCTGCTCCCACTGCTGTCCCACGTGCACGTGCAGTGACTCATTTGATTATTTTTTTTTAAAATATATTTTATTGATTTTTTAGAGGAAGGGGAAACATCGATGAGAGAGAAACATCGATCAGCTACCTCCTGCACACTCCCCACTGGGTATGTGCCCGCAACCAAGGTACATGCCCTTGATCGGAATTGAACTTGGGACCCTTGAGTCCACAGGCTGATGCTCTATCCACTGAGCCAAACTGGTTAGGGCTGATTCTTTTTTACTTGAAAGAATCTTTATTGTTGAGAGTATTACAGATGTCCCCCTCTTACCTCCCCATTGTCCCCCTCCACCTGGTTCCCATCCCACCCCAGGCCTTCACCACCCTATTGTCTGTGTCCATAGGTAATGCATATATGCATATATGTTCTTTAGTTAATCTCTCTCCTCCGTCTTTCCTATGAGATTCGTTGGTCTATTCCATGTTTCCATGCCTCTGGTTCTATCTTATTCATCAGTTTATTTTGTTCATTAGATTCTTTGTTCATTTATTTTCATTTTTAGATTCAGTTGTTGATATATATGTATTTATTGCCACTTTATTTTTTATATATTTAAAAAGAATTTTTTAATTGATTTCAGAGAGGAAGGGAGAGGGAGAGAGAGATAGAAACATCAATGATGAGAGAGAATCATTGATTGTTTGCCTTCTGCACGCCCCCACACCCCCAGTGGGGATTGAACCTGCAACCTGGGCATGTGCCCTGACTGGGAATTGAACCATGACCTCTTTGTTCATAGGTCGACTCTCAACCACTGAGCCACGCCCATTTGTTTATATTTTTTATCTTTCTTCTACTTCTTTTCCTTTTCCTTCTCCTTCTTCTGCAAGAATACCCTTCAAAATTTCATGTAATACTGATTTGATAGTGATGAACTCCTTTAGCTTTTTCTTGTCTGTGAAGCTTTTTATCTAACCTTCAATTCTAAATGATAGCTTTACTGAGTAGAATGGGTAGAGTATTCTTGGTTGTAGGTCCTTGCTATTCATCACTTTGAATATTTCTTGCCACTCCCTTCTGGCCTGCAAAGTTTCTGTTGAGAAATCAGCTGACAGTCATATGGGTGCTCCCTTGTAGATAACTGACTGCTTTTCTCTTGCTGTTTTTAAGATGCTCTTTATCTTTAACTTTTGGCATTTTAATTATGATGTGCTTTGGTGTGGGTCTCTTAGGGTTCCTTTTGTTTGAGGTTCTCTGCGCTTCCTGGACTTGTAAGTCTATTTCTTTCACCAGATAGGGGAAGTTTTCTGTCATTATTTCTTCATATAGGTTTTCAATATCTTGCTCTCTCTGTTTTCCTTCTGGCATCCCCATAATTTGGATGTTGGTAGGCTTAACGTTGTCCCAGAGGCTCTGTACACTCCCTTCATATTTTAGATTCTTTATTCTTTTTGCTCTTCTAATTGGGTGTTTTTTGCTGCCTCATATTCCAAATTGTTGATTTGATTCTCCACATTCTATGTTCTACTGTTGAAACCCTGTAAATTATTCTTTATTTCAGTTAGTGTATGCTGAATTTCTGACTGGTCCTTATTCATGTCTTTGAAGTTCTCACCTACATTCTTGAAAGTCTCAGTAAGTGCCTTGAAGCTCTCATTAAGATCCTGAGTATCCTTATAACCATTGTTTTGAACTCTATATCTAGTACTTTGTTTGCTTCCACTTCATTTAGTTGTTTTTCTGGAGATTTTTTTCTGTTTTATTTTCATTTGTAACATGTTTCTTTGTCTTCACATTTTGGCTGCTTCCCTGTGTTTGTTTCTGTGTATTGGGTAGAGCTGCTATGTTTCCTGGAGTTGGTAGAGTGACCTTGTGGAGTAGGTGTCCTGTAGGCCCCAGTGGCTCAGCCTCCCCAGTCACCTGAGCTGGGCACTCTAGGTGCGCCTCTGTGTGGGCTGTATACACTGTCTTGTTGTAGTTGAGCCTTGATTTCTGTTGGTGTCACTGGGAGGAATTGACCTCCAGGCCAATTGGCTGTGAGGACCAGTGGCAACTACAATGGAAGAACTGCTGTGCAGGAGATACCCCTATGGATTAGGACTTGCTTCAGTGGGGCCTTGGTGCTCACAGAATCTTCCCTTTGAATGTGTCACTTGTGGATGTGTAGAGCTGAAATCTGATATGGTCTGAAGCTGTCTACTTGGTGCATGGCTCTGGAGCCTCCTGGGAGGTGCAAAGTCAGACACTGCCTGTGCCCTTCCTGGGGCCACTGGGCAGGAGCTACAGATTGATCTGCAGATGGCTGCTACTTGTGTTGGGCTTGGAAGTGCCCAGGGGAGGCCAAGCTGTGAAGCAAGGCAAGCTGCTGCTAATGCCAGGCCTGGGGCCACTTATCAGGAGGTATGGGGCACACTGACATCAGCTGCTACTTGTTTGAGAGATTTTAGGAAAGGCTGAAGCCTGAGCTAGGACAGGCTATTTATATAAAAAAGCCTGCTTCAAGCAGTTTGGGTGGGGCTGCAAATTGGGTGAGGGGAATCACCAGGGCGAAGTGAACAGTGTGAGCCAGGTTGATGGAGACTCAGATATGGTGCCTGCCAGTCAGCTCTGAGACTGGAGGGTGGGGTGTCAGGGAAGGGATGTGGGGGGTGGGGATGGGGAGGTCTCAGCATAGGAACAGTGACCCCTGTGAGCATCCCTGTCTGGGAGAAAGCTGCCCCCAAGTTCTTGCCCTGATGCCAGACAATCCAGTTCCTACTGGATTCCCCCAAGCCGATGCCCCAGTGGGAATGAGTCCACGTAACTCTGTGTGTTGCGCCTTTAAGAGGAACTGTCTGGGTCTCCAGCAGCCTCTGTGAATGACTCATAGCCCACCTATGATGGATTATCCCATCTCACAGGTAGGAAACTGAGACAAGAGAGCAAATGCCCAGGTTGCAGAGCTGGTAAGGGCTGGAGCCAGCGGGGGGGATCCCTGGTAGAGCCCAAGCACTGAGCCAGTAGGCTATCCAACCTCTCTTAAATTGAACCCTTTAAAAAAATAGGCTGATGGGAGCAGGGCTGGAACCCTGATCCCCCTGCTCAGCCCCTGCAGACCCTGAGTGAGCTGTGGGAACTCTGAAAGCCTATGTAGAGGATTTTAGGGGAAATGGCACAGGAGTGGTTGCTGGGGACATAGAGAAAATGTGGCATTTGGAGTTGGACTGGTGTCCCCACCTGGAACGGGCTCCTAGTAGCTGAGAGCAACCTTGGGCAAATTTATTTAACCTCTTTGAGCCTAAGTTTCCACATCTGTAAAATGGGGATAATTATACCTATAGAGCAGGTAAGGATAAAATGAGGAAACTGTTAGGTACTGGA